AAGTGAGGCTCGGGGGGGTGGGGGGCGGCTGCTGGTTTGGGGGGCTCATGAGACACTTGGGGGGGATCCAGGGGCTGGTGGTGTGGGGGGCTCATCTGAGACATTTGGGGGGAGTCAGGTGATGGGGGCTGGTGGGAGACACTCGGGGGATTCAGGGGCTGGTGGTTTGGGGGGACCCAGATCTAGTAACAGAAACTATTTTCCCTTTCCCACAAGGTGCTGAGCTTTCCCGCAGGCCAGGGACAGAGTCACCACATGAGGTGAGTGCAGGGTCTGTTACCCTCCCACGAGGCCTCACTGCCCCCTGCTGGCTGGGGTGTGTGTGCGGCTGCAGCCTCCCCATCCCCTGCCCCCTGCTGGGTGGAACCGGCACTGCCCAAGTGTGTGTCAGACCCCGTCCTACTACCAGCTCAGGGGAGATTCCCCCAGTCACAGAGTGTCCGGTCCTGGCAGCACCCACCCCGCTGGCCCTGGGCCCGTCGATCAGGGATCTCACTGGCTCTCTGTTTGGGCTACAGGAACTCCAAGGACGGACCCAGGATATTTAAAGCCAGTGGGATGCTCCGCCGAAATCCCGACCAGCTGGGAACCCCTCTGCACGGCCAGGACCCTAAACACAAAGAGACGCCATCGCTCAACGGGGCCAGATCCCAGCGGGGTCCACAAGTGCCGACTTTCCATTGTGTCAGGGGGTGCTCGACCCCTGGCTCTGCCCCAGGCCCCAACCCCACTCCACCCCTTCCCTCAAGGCCACACCCCTGCCCCGACCCTTCCCTACCACTTCCCACCCCTGTGCGCGCTGCGTCCTCGCTCCTCTGCCCTTCCCCCAGCCTCCTGCACCACAAAACAGGGGATTGCGGTGAGCGGGAGGTGCGGGGATGGAGGGAGAAGCACTGATGGGGGGTTGCCGGTGGGTGCTCAGCATCCACCATTTTTCCCAGTGGGTGCTCCAGTCCCAGACCACCCATGGAGTCGGCACCTATGCTGTGGTCAAGCGGTCGTAGCTCCATTGGAATGAATGGGGCCAGACCCCCAGCCTGGGTCACTCCACTGGAGAACTCGACTGGGAATAAATAGCTCTGAAATGCAGGGATTGGGTAATTTTTTTTCTATATCAACTTTATAACAAACAGTGGAAATATCTGTGATGTTCTGTAGCTTGTGGGAACACCCTGAACCCCCGTGTTCATCCTTATAATATGATTGTGTGGTATCTAATGCAAAGTTTCTCATGTCAGGTGTCTTCAGAACGCTCATGACGCACTGAGCATTGTTGTTCTAGTGATGTGATAGGAATTGTGGTTACAGTAATGTTATAGTGGTGTTATAGGTTATAATTTCATGTATATAGTTATGAGGCTGAAAATGTGTTTTCATGGCTTAAAATAAACCCCAGCAAAAACTCCCCAAGAGCAGAGAGGCAGTTCACACCTCATCAGGGCCTGTATGGGACAAACCCAGCCCAGCCTCACAGGAACAAAGGACGCTGGCCTAGGCAGCAGCAAAAGAATCTTTTGGACTCTAGAGTGAGTCACCCCCCTTCCTTTGGAAATGTTTTGGACTGTGATGAGGTAATGCTCACCTGACTCTCAAGGGGGGGGAGGGGCAAAGCCAAGAGGGAAGAAAGAACATGACAAAAGGGAGAGATGTTTGCCATGCTCTCGCTCTCTCTTCCACCAACATTTACAGACACCACCACTGAAGTGCTGAATCAAAGGGGAGAGTGACTGAAGTGCTGATCAAAGGGGAGAGCCTGGCTGAAGAGCAACCAGCCAGCCTGTGGTGAGGACCACTGAAGTTTGTAAGGGCATTGAAAGTGTTAAGATCAGCTTAGAATGTGTTTTTATTTCATTTGACCCCCAAATCTGACTTGTTCTGCTTTGACTTATAATCACTTAAATCTATCTTTATAGTTAATAAATCTGCTTGTTCTACCTGGAGCCGTGCGTTTGGTTTGAGGCATGTCAGAGACTCCCCTTGGAAAAACAACAAGGAGTCTGGTGGCACCTTAAAGACTAACAGATTTATTTGGGCATAAGCTTTTGTGAGTTAAAACCTCACTTCTTCGGATGCATAGAGTGAAAGTTACAGATGCAGGCATTATATACTGACACATGGAGAGCAGGGAGTTACTTCACAAGTGGAAAACCAGTGTTGACAGGGCCAATTCAATCAGGGTGGATGTAGTCCACTCCCAATAATAGATGAGGAGGTGTCAATTCCAGGAGAGGAAAAGCTAGCTTCTGTAGTGAGCCAGCCACAACAAGGAGTCTGGTGGCACCTTAAAGACTAACAGAATTATTTGGGCATAAGCTTTTGTGAGTTAAAACCTCACTTCTTCGGATGCATAGAGTGAAAGTTACAGATGCAGGCATTATATACTGACACATGGAGAGCAGGGAGTTACTTCACAAGTGGAAAACCAGTGTTGACAGGGCCAATTCAATCAGGGTGGATGTAGTCCACTCCCAATAATAGATGAGGAGGTGTAAATTCCAGAAGAGGAAAAGCTGCTTCTGTAGTGACCCAGCCACTCCCAGTCCCTATTCAAGCCCAGATTAATGGTGTTGAATTTGCAAATGAATTTTAGTTCTGCTGTTTCTCTTTGAAGTCTGTTTCTGAAGTTTTTTGTTCAATGATAGTGACTTTTAAATCTGTAATAGAATGACCAGGGAGATTGAAGTGTTCACTTACTAGCTTGTGTATGTTACCATTCCTGATGTCCGATTTGTGTCCATTTATTCTTTTGCGGAGGGACTGTCTGGTTTGGCCAATGTACATGGCAGAGGGGCATTGCTGGCACATGATGGCATATATCACATTAGTGGATGTGCAGGTGAATGAGCCCTTGATGGTGTGGCTGATGTGGTTGGGTCCTCTGATGCTGTTGCCAGAGTAGATATGGGGACAGAGTAGGCAACGAGGTTTGCTACAGGGATAGGTTCCTAGGTTGGTGTTTCTGTGGTGTGGTGTGGTGTGTAGTTGCTAGTGAGTATTTGCTTCAGGTTGGAAGTTCAGCACCTGACAAATTAAACCACCCCCAGGATTGCCGAAAATCCTGGGGCAATTTCTCCTGTCCAGACAGCCCCAAGGCTCGCTTGGCTGCTCGTCGGGGTAGGGCAGCGGGGTTTTGCTCTGTGTTTGTACAGCACCTGGCACATTGCCCCATGAGCGGTGCGCCTACGTGTTACCCCCAGACACCGAATACACAATACTCGGGGGTAGGAAATAAACTGGGGCCGGGCTCCGTGTCTCCCCGAGAACAGGGGGGAGGTTTATTCGGAAGCGAGAAGAATGACAGCCTGGGGGGATCCAGCCTCCTGCAGGACGGGGTGAGCCGGACACTGCTTAGCGCGGAAATCTTAGCCCCGGACAATGGACCCATAGAGCCAGCGAAACCCGGCTGTCCCCGTTAGATGAGCCAGTGAAAGTGACTAGCCATTAACTGAGGAATAATTCGCCTGCGGTTGCTACACTCCTGTTGGTGAGTGAGAGACAGAAGGAGCTGGAGTTGTTCAGTTTCTCACAAAGGCAGCAGAGAGAGGCCTTGATCCGGGTCTATCAGCACCTCTCTGGGGAGGGGATTTCGGGAGCAGAGGCTGTTTAACCCACCCCACAAAGGCAAAGCGAGCGCCGCTGGCTGGGGGATGAAGTCAAACAAATCCAGACTGGAAATAAGGGGCAGGTTCTCCCTAAGAAAAGGACTTGACCCTCACAACAACTACCCCAGGGAGGGGGCAGATTCTCCAAACCTTTGAGTCCTTCCATGGCGATCGGGTGTCTCACTAAAAGCCCAGCTCTAGATCGACCCCCAGATCTGAGCTTGAAATCTATGAAGGGGGCAGAGTTAAGGGCACACATGCAAAGGGGTGGAGTTAATGGTGCTCTAGCTTGACCCTGCCCCCCTCCAGATCTGGGCTGGGTGCAGGGTCCCCTGAGGGAGGTTCTCCAGCCCGGGCTGGGCACGAGGGCAAACTGGCCGTGCAGAACAGTCCCTTGCGATGTGTGGATTGATTAACCAAACCCTCTAGTCCTGCAACCTGCACGGCCCGGAGAGTACACGCTGCCCAATATTACCCACCCCAGGGCTCTCTTAGCATTGTGATCCCTCACTCGCCTTCAGGAGCCACATCTCAGCGTTTTAACCCGGAGCCAGGAGGAGACACTTTGGCCCTGATCCTGCCATCAGACCCTTGTTACTGCCCAGTGGCTGGACCTACTACAGGATCCAGGCCTCAGTCTAACGTCACGGCTCAGCGCGGGCTTAATCCTAATATTATCTTCTACTGAAACCGTTGGGAAAACCCACCTGAAATCGCGCAATGTTTTGATGGCTCCGAACCTGTGTTTCATGATCACAAAATGTTTTGTGTGAACACGTTCACTTGTTTCTACTCCCCACCTTCTGCTCCTAGAGCCGGGTCATTTCTGGGCCCTGCCTTCTCTAACACCAATGCAGAGCGACACATATGTGGCTATATGGATATATAGGTGCGGCCTATACAGATTTGACGGATATACAGAGCACTCCAGTTATAAGAATCACTGTTATAAGAATCAATCGTGTATCAAAACCAGTGAGCAAAACCACTGGGACAAAATCATACCTATACTCCCCCGGTCAAAATAACCAACTCAATATCCTTAAATCAAACACTAACTTCTCAAGCCACAGTTTTCTTACTTGGCCCATCTGCTGATGTCAATTATTACCAAGGGAAATATGTTTTGGGGGTTGATGTGAGTACGGTGAAATTGATATTTACCACTAAAAAACAAATCCTCCAAGCCTGTGAATGTACTAAGCGAACGTACTAAGTGAACGCTTGTTCAGTAAGAGGTTTGGCAACTGGGC